TATACTGGCTGTTGTTGAATACCATACTCGTCATAAGTAAACATTTGACTGATTAATTTAATATTTAATTGATCATCATTAAGAAATTAAGACCTCAGCCACTCGGTAGACTGGTGGTGGCTCACATACTCATTAAATTGAATATTTGGTTGACCAATCGGTTGCCCAATTACTCAATTAACCAATTCATACTCTCGGTCATTTCGTCAGGCAATAAACCAGTCAAGCATTGGACCAGTTGAGCACTCCTCTTTCATTCAATTCCTCATTGAGTCATTGAGTCATTGAGTCGTCGAGTCAAACAACCAGTCAATCAATCAATCAAGCAATCTTTCACTCCTGCCCAAGCTCACTGCACAATTGGTCGACTGCAATCGGCTCTGCGCCTCGCCTCCGTCATGCGTCGGTCGGGCCAGTTCGTCCGGTTAGTGAGTAGTCAATGAGTAGTGCGCCATAAATTGGCGCGCCGGCTACGCTTTGGTCGACTTGGCCGACTTTGAGCGGCGCTTCTTGCCGGCGCGTCGCCGGCCGGCTTGCGTTGCCCGGCGACGCGGCAACGCGATCTGCCTCACTTGCAGCATCGTGCGCCACCAGGCCTGAATGCGCAGAGCACACCGCGTCGACAACTCGAGGTAGGCCTGTCGCCGAGCCGCCGCCTCCTTCACCGCATGTACCGCCTGCACGGACTCTTCGCAATGGCGAATCGTGTCGCACAGGTTGCGCATTCGCTCGTGTTGGCCTCGCGTCCTCGTCGTCAACGCGTCCAAATGGTCCGTCAACCGACGACTCTGCTGCTCCCGGTCCGGAGCACACGCCGTCGCCGTGAGTCGACTTCGCTGGCGCAAGAATTGCTCGACATCCTCGCCGTTCCGCGTCGTCTCGTCCAACCGCAACTGGCTCGACTTGATCGACGTCTGCACCGTCGTCAGCTGGTCGTTGAGACGACCGGCCAACTCGTGCAGACACGCCGTGAAACGGTGGCCAAGATACGCTGTCTCCATGACGACGGCTTCGCGCAGCTCTTGTTTCTCGTGTTTCACATGCGCGGCCGCCGCCGCCAACTCGGTCTGTTGGCGCGTCAGGTTGTTGGTGATTCGGTTGATGTGGCGACACAGTCGTTGAATGTTGGCCGACGTGTCGGCGGCCGAGCGCAGAGCTCGCGCCTCGTCGCGTCGCAACGCCTCAGCCTCGTCGCAGTGCGCCTCGAGGCCGGTCACGAAGCCGTGGCCGGCCACTTCGACGCCGGCCTGACGCAGGCAGGCGTGTACTCGAGCCAGCGTCTTCATGGCGACCGAGTCACGGTTGCCGTCCGCCTCGCCGTCCGGCTCCAGCGTCAGTTCGCCGAGGGTGTGTCTGCGCGACATTGTGACTCGACGCAACGCTTGGCTCGAACGCGTCGTCGCCGTCGCCGTCGCCGTCGCCGTCGGCGTTGCCATTGGCGTCGACGTCGTCGACGTTCGTGTGTTGGGGAGTCGTGTTTTGCCGAGGAGCCAGAGGAGGCCGAGCTCTTCGCAGGCCTCGCAGAGGACGGCCTCGAAGGCGACTCGCTCGGTCGGGGCGAACTGCAACGAGGCCGGGTCGAATGGCGACGACGGCGACGGCGACGGCGACGGCGACATGGACGAATGGTTGAACCAATCACGTGCTCGCTCGATCGCCTCCGTCGACGAGCTCCATGAGAGTGGCGGCGAATTGACTTGACGTCGCTGCGCCGGCGGACGCTCTTTCAGCAACACTTGCTGCATGCTCCAGTCGCGTAGGAGACGCAGCAGCCTGACTCCACCAACTAGGCCGACATGCGGCGAGTGCGCCGGAACAGAGTGGCTTCAATGCATCTTTCAAACCGGCTGCTGGCGATCAATACGACAGAGGCATGATCGAGATCAAGATTGTCATCTCGATCTCGATCAGGTCTTACACG